TCAGCAGGATCTCCATCAATAGATACATCCATAAAAACCTGCGGATTCTTCTTTTTTGCCATCTTTTGATATCTCTGTCAAGCTAGCAGCCGTAATCTGAAAACAAACACGTGATACAGAGAAAACATAACGAGAATCAAACCCCGAAGCATCATAAAAGAAACCACGAAATCAAATCAAAAGAAACAGATAACTATGTAAACAGTTTACAGATGCAAACTGTAGGAGTACTGAAAAACGTGGCATAGTCCCAACGTCTCATATCGCAATGCATGAATGAACATAAGACCCTATCACATAGTAACCAACAAAAGATACAGCTTGAACATACAAAGTTGTAACCATCCATGCGTGATCAACACACGCTTGCAGCGTGGAATAAGGTATGAGATCAGAAAATGATAGACCCCCAAATTTAATCACAAACCCAAATCGCAAACAATGAGCTGAACGAGACAAAGGACCAAAATGCATAACCAGGAAGTACACGAAGAGTAATTTCATCAAGCGATTGATCTCAAATCACGAATGAGGACCAGATAACGCCCACCAAGCCTCGAGACGTATAAAAGACCTTAACGTTCAGAGAAATGAAAAAATCCAACAAAAAATCCCCAATTTTCTAGCTATCAAACACAATAAAACTATCGTATCGTGTGGGAAAAGTACAAACAAAACTACCCATATCAGTAAAATGCGAAAAGATCCCGTACGAATACCAATACATCAAAAATTGCTGCAAGAGAGCGCAAAACCCGAAGAAAGATGAAGAAAACGCAGAAATCTCCAGGGAAATTCTCTAGGGTTTTTACCTGAGAAAAATGCAGAGCCACATGTGAGATGACTGAGCAGGGAAGGAAAACCTAGAAGAGCCCTTAAAAGAGAAACTTGGCAAGTCCTTCGGTGACAATCTCGTCCGAATTTACCCTCCAACGTAACCTAAATTACAACTTTACCCTCAAATTTCATTTTCTCTTTATTTTACCTATGCTTTCTCTACTTAACAAAACATTTTCACTATTTAAAAAGAAACTAAAGTGTTCAATGGATTGGGTTTTTATTTTGAGTTTTTGGATTTAGTTTTTGGTTTTTAGATTTTAGTTTTGGGTTTTTGATTTTTGGTTTTTATAGATTTGTAAATCCAAAAAAATATAGTTTTTAGTTTTTAGTTTTTAGTTCAATTTTTTCGCGGTTTTTCTAGTTTTTAGGAAAACTAAATTTAAAAAACTTGATTGATAATTTTTTGAGTTTTTAAAAACTCCCAAAACCCTTGCCATTCAACACCTAAAACCTAAGTACCTAAACTTATCGATTTTATATAAAAAATCTAAACTTTATTTATTTATTTTTTGGGTAAATGACTGTACTAAAGCTCAGACTAAGGTAGTCATGACAAATCAACCATATAATTTATTTGTATTATACGTTCTCTTTCTCTAGATTTGAAGTTCAAATTTAAGATATAACACGTATTTTACGTCTTTATTTTCTCCATTGAATTATTCAAATTTGGATAAATAAAATTTTATTTTATACTAAACAAATTTTATTTGTTCAAAATACATTCGAGTTTTATAATCGATGTCATTTTTAAACTAAATAATGATATAGAATCCCGATAAATTTATGAAGCAAGTTCACACTTTGATTAAATATGATACATCAGTAAACACATAGATAATTTAAAATCCATATCATTTTTATTTCAAAAAAATAAAAATAATAAAATACAAAAACAAATAATACATACATATATATAAATAGTACATACATATATATATAAATATATGTATGTATGTATTACATATATGGATTCATCATCACACAAGAATCTATTTCTAGGATTTATGTAGTGGAAGACAAAACAAAAATTGTTACGGATCGCAACAGATTTGCAAAGCATTGTCAATTGAAGTGAAAAAGGTCACCCCCTTTAGACTTGTTTTATCGACTTCACCCTTTAAATGACAAGAGGGTAGATATATCTTTCTGAAGAAATATCTCTGACAGGCATGGCCTGATACGCGTGTACCGAGTCTTAAATTTATACCCGACGCCACGTCTCACCGCAAGAATACGGATCGTCGTAGTACGGGATCGAACACAAGGACCAATTGTACTTTTAACTCAAATCAATTCAAGACAAGGGAAAGTATGATGGATAGTGTGTGATAGTGGTAGTGAATCGCAGTAACCAAAACAAGCAATCAAGTAACGTGTGTATAAATCTAATAGCAAAGCCTGCGGGAGTCGGGTTTGTCCGTCACGTGTTCCGGATATACGCTAGGGATGCGAATTCCGCATTCATGGATCGATTTAGGGATTTCAAGCAACCACTGTATAAGGAATTTACCTCTCAACCTTAGACACTACTACCGGGTTTTCGATGACTTATATCTCTATAACTCCCACAAAAAACCAAGTGCATGAAGAACGCTATCATAAACCCTAATCCGTCTAATCTATCTCTCGATAGCGATATTCGAATCATTCATCCAATTCCACGACCTAGTCATCAAACCATATCTCTACGCCTTCAATTCCAGGGTATTGATCATAGGGTTAGCATTCAATCAACCAAAGAATAAAGAACAAGAAACGAATAAACAAAACAAAATCCACTCATGCAAAATCCGTGTTAAAGCACAAACATACCCAGAACACTGAACAAAACCCTAATCCCACAGATGGGTAATCTACTCAAACGTCATAACGGAGTACGGGGAGACAATAAACAAGAGAAGAGGGAAGAGTAGAGAAAGGCTCATGAATCTGATGTCTCCAATCCTCGTCTCCTTCGCTTAGAGTTTCCTCTCTTTTTGTCTGGTTCATGTCTTCTTTTTCTCCCTCCAGTCCCCTTTTCTTTCTTCCCTCCTCTTCTCTTTATTAGCCAAAATTAGGTCAAAGTCCGGGTAAGTAACTCGGACCGCGCCAAATATAACGCGGGTTGTGCCAAGTTTCTGAGCAAATTCCAATTCTTCGGGATCATGGCGCGGACCGTGTTGCTTCTGCTGCGGGTCGTGTCAGATCTCTGAGCAAACCTCCCTTCTCCGGGATAGTGGCACGGACCGTGTTGCCTCTGGCCCGTGCCGCGTCATATCTCTGAGCAAAATCCATCCTTTAATCTCGTTTTCCTGTAGATCACAAGAGGGTACCAACAAAGCGGGTATAGGGTGCCTACAATACCTAAACATGCAATATACATATGCTAATGACTCCTCTAGACATCCAAAATATAGTGTAAAATAGGAGTTATCAAATCCCCCCAGACCTGAACTTTTGCTCGACCTCGAGTGAAGAGGATTCACAAGAAGTTTCGGTTGGGTGACATAGATGAGCAGTCAATGAGATCAGAATGAGGGTCGGTTATGGATCATGCAGAGGGTTTAGAGAACAACGCAAATGAAATCGAACGTAACTACTTAAGTATCCTAGACGTCATTAGCTAAGTCGGCATGTGACTTTCGTCGGAACCCAAGTTCGTAACGAGACTTTTCGTTCTCCTCATCTTATTCCACACCTCGGAACCCAGTGACCTAAACTCGTTGATCGCTATGTCCCAATAACTCGATCAACTTAGTTGTCACATATCCCTTTCTCCTTTTTTTTCTCATCCCGGGTTTCTAGGACGTTGAAGTCGGCGGTTATCCTCTCTTTTTTTTCGGCAACTGTCCCACAGCTTAGACCCGAACTATCTATGCTAGATACACTCATGCACTCGAACGATTTTTGTTGACGAGTGATGGCGGCAGCGGAGTGTCGGGATGTAGGTGTGTCTAGGGATGTATGTCTTTACCTCTCTCTTATTCTATTTTTTTTTCTTTTGGGACTCGCGTTTCCTAGATCGTCGGTTTTGGTTCTAAGGATTTGCGGTCATCAGATTCAGGCGAGCGTAAGTCTTTTCCTAACTCGGAGTCTAATCCGCTGTCGGGATGTAGGTGTGTCTAGGGATGTATGTCTTTACCTCTCTCTTATTCTATTTTTTTTCTTTTGGGACTCGCGTTTCCTAGAGCGTCGGTTGTGGTTCTAAGGATTTGCGGTCATCAGATTCGGGCGAGCGTAAGTCTTTTCCTAACTCGGAGTCTAATCTCGTCCCACTGCCTAGTTAGTCAACTAGCCTGCGCATATTCAAGCGGTCTGGCTCAACAATCCATCTAAATATTAGAACTCAAGGATGAGTACTAAAGACGTATTTCTTTTCGCCGTCTATGCAATGCAAACCGTAAACTCTCTATCTATCATCATTTCCCACTACCCTGCTCAATGCGGTTATGCTCGTGCTCCTATGATGCGCCTAAGTGGGAAGGGTACTGAGGTAGAGTAGTGCAAATGATCTGGGTCCTAACTGCGATGCAACTATATGCTGTGAAAATCCGAAACAAAACAATGCATGCAATGCAATCCCCCAGACCTGAACGTTTCACTGTCCGCGGTGAAAGACCAAGTGGGGTATGAGATGAAGCAATGAAAATGGCGTGGTAAGACAAAGATGTAAGGAAGAATGGCTTAGTTGCACGTAATCGTTCGCTCGCAATGAAGTTAACTAACGTGGAACGTGCCTCTGGTCACTCGAGATCGGGGTCGGGGTGTTGTATTCGGTGAACTCTCGCATCCATGTGGTTGAAGCAGACAGGAAAGGCTAGAAACCAAGATTATCCGCAAACAAACAAACGGTACAAAATACACTAACCACAGACAAAATGTAACCCCAACCACCGTACATCAAGGTCCCACTACGACCACTATAAAAGATGAAAAAGAAAAAGTGAAAGGTGAAATAAAATATCTGTGGACCTGGTATGGTGACCGTCTAGACGTCGGGGGACCGATCAAATTCGTCTTCGGCCTCTGTCTCTTCGGAGTCCGGAGCCGAGTGTCGAAAATGGCTGCGGTATTCGTCATGGAACTATTACTGCTGGAAGCCGAGTGTTGGACCTGGTTCATCAAGGCAGACATCTGATCGCCGAATGCTGCTTGCATGGTTGTCATCTGGCCTCTGATGTCGCTGAATTCGCCATACACGTACTGCTGGAATGCGTCCTGGCTCTGGAACGGGTAGGCTGGAGGCGGGCCGACAGAGCTAGATGGGCCGACCTCGTGTTGGCTCGTAGGCGGAGGAGCATGCAGAATCTGCTCCGGGATATCATAGGCGCCTTCCTCTAAACCTAGGCGTTGAGCCATGGTGAGGGAGAGTCGCAGTCCGTCGATCGTCACCGGGGGTATGTGGATGTTGGACAGCCTCATCGTCGTGTCGTTCTCGCGCTCATCGAGATAGATCCACAGCCACCCCTCCGTGGCTTCTGTGAGAGAGTGCTTCTGGATAAGCATCGTGGAGTCTAGGGTGTTTCTCCCCGTGAGCATCTCTGATTCGAACAGCCCGATGTCGATTCCCACACGTCTCGCGATCATGGTGACCAACCCACCAAAATAAACGTGGATGCTTGTTGAACGCGTCTGGATCGTCTTGTTCATGTGAAGTGCGATGCGGGAAGGAATATTTGTGGCCTCGGCTCCCCAGTCATCTTCATCGAAGAGATGTGCTAAGGCGCGGCGAAGGAGAATCAGCTCGGTGATGTTAAGTGTCCCCGATTCCTCCCTCCCGAACAGGAGTTCGCGAGGATCATGTGGAGATAGCGTACGGCAGGATGACAGATCCAAGTCTAGTTGAGGGTCGATGCTGAATAAGCGTTTGCGCCGATGATGCCCAAAAGCTGATCAAGTCACCTTCGCGTACGATGGGCAAGTAAGCGGAGATACCCGGTTGCAGTCCCAAGATATCGGCGAACTGGGTCTTCGTGAGCCGGTGTTCGCATCCGCCAGCTGGAAGCCCTTGTATGAGTGTTCGGACAGGCCGCTGGACGGGATGTAGAGGCAGAATGTAG